GTGTTGTGGCGTGGTTTCTCGTTGGAATTTCAATCGATTTGATTGGCTACTTCAGATGAGCTCAAAATTATTAACCAATCAAAACCTTCTCAATGAAATTCAACCAATCAGATCGATTGTGGATCGGTTTGGTTGGTGCGATTCGATTGCACCCCTCCCCAAATTTGTATCAAATCGACAATATATCGATCGATTCTTCTTCTTTCTCCTGACTTTTGTATGGAAAGACACTAAATTCAGTCACTAATAATTGTGGGTGTTGAAATGGTCGAAGCTTGATTTGCGTTCTGGGTTTTGATTGGTCGTTTATCGATTGTCTGCTGAATTGGTGCTCATTCGAATGACCACCCCAATTTCGAATCGACTTGACAATATAGTCGTCTGCTATGTCATGCACACACATGATGTTCTTACGGTAGGAACGTCCCATGCCCTACTCAAGCAGATTGCAAGGGACAGTGACTTTCTCTGTGGACTGGTATGACACGAATATATATATATATACATATATATATATATATATATTGTGCTTTCGAGTGACATTTCGTGTTGTGGTTTCACGTTGGAATTTAAATCGATTTGATTGGCTACCTCAGATGAGCTCAACATTATTAGCCAATCAAAACCCTCTCAATGAAATTCAACCAATCAGATCGATTGTGGATCGGTTTGGTCGGCGCAACGATTCGATTGCACCCCCTCCCCAAATTGTGGACTTTTGTGCTGATTCTTTGCCAAATCTATCGATTGCACCCCTTCCCCAAATTTGTACTATCAAATCGACAATATATATAGGGTCCTTTTACCCAATGTGGACTTTTGTGCTGATCCTTTGCCAAATCTATCGATCGATTCGTTGTCCTGGCTTTTGTATGCAAAATGATACGAAATGAAGTTACACCCTAATTCGATGTTGAATTCGTCGAAGAGTGGATTTGATTGGCCACTTGAATAGTGTTCTGGGTTTGGATTGGTTGTCTGGCTGCTCTCCAATTTCGAATATCGACTATAGATATGGATATGGTGAACGAGGATATGATGTAGGGGGTCATGGACTATAGCCTGTTGATTGGGATGCATTATTCGCAGTTCAAGATCACCAGTGGCCACCCGCCAGAGGACGAGACCAACGTGTTTACTCGCAGTGGGTCCCCCAAACTCACACATCGCACCCGCCTCGAGTCGTCGTCCGCCACACGCGAAGAGGACGACTGGAGCGGAGAAAATACCTTTGGCGAGGTGACCCATCGGTATAGTGCCCACTTTGTGTCGGGCCCGAGCGCGTACTACATTGGCATCATCGACGTCCTGCAGCAGTGGACGCTGACCAAGCAAGTGGAGCGCCTGTACAAGGTGCATGTGCTGCAGAAGGACGGGCGTGGCATCTCCGCCATCAACCCCAACCAGTACGCCAAGCGCTTCCAGATGAAGATGTGCCAGCTCCTGTATCAGCCTGACGACGAAGACGACTAACTGTTTGTTAGCAAGTAAGTTGTTGCACACCAACGAAGTGTCGTGATGAAATCGGAAATGTACTACAGTACTGTAAAGCTTTTTAAGCTGGCGCTTCTCGTCCTTCTCATACAACTTGCATCTGTACCGCGTCTCTGCTCGGTCCTCCTGGCGTCCTTGCCGATGGTCCATCACCAGGTGCAACTGCCGTGGATGATCTACTACAGCTCCGTCGCATGCTCCATGTTGGTGTCCAAGTGCTTTATGACGATGTGCTAGTCTCACGATGAAGACAACTACTGTAACGCAAATAAAAGTTGTATGTATTGCGGGGGTTGCTTGAGGCTGTAAATGTCATAACTATCTATCTCTAGTATTCGCTACCGGCAGTGTAACCATATACGAAAAAAATGAAATTAAATGCAAATTTTGCTGACGTTTCTTGTCGGCGGCGGGTCGAGACCACTCCAGTCCCGGAATGGCGTCCTCAACCACCATCGACATGAACGGGTACGGTGTGCGACGGGCCACCGGACGTAGTCTTTGAAGCTGAGCACCGGAACCAAGGACTCGCCATGCTCCAAGGCCATCCGAACAAGCCCCTTGTGGCCGGTGAACACGTGCACCTGGCGCTGCCGGGACTGCGATGCCACCAGCTCCGCCTGGCCCCCCGGCACGGCAAAAATAGACTGTCGTGCGCGTCACCTCACGAGCCCCCAGGACCTGGATGACGTCGCGGATACCGGGGAAGTAGTGCACCACACTCGCGCTCAACGGACACGCAAACACGTTTGGAAACAGCGCCCGCCACTGGTCAGTGAATTGGAGCCACATCACCGTCATGGGGATGATCCCGTGGGGATGGAACCCAAAGATGTACGTGTGGGACGGACTTAGGGGTTCCGTGCGCACCAAGTGCAGGGAAAAGTACCGCGCCGTGGCCTCTATCACGGCGCTGTACGCTTTCTGGAGGGATTTATCCTGTCGGCTTCCCGTTTGCGCCGGCATGCCGTTCATGGTTTTGTACGTGTAAACATACCAAGGGATTGCAAACCCCACGGTCGCGGCGGCGGCGGGGTGGTCAACGTACGCGTGGACGACAACTGAAACCAAAGGCAGCGTCGAAAACACGAGCGGAAGTGCCACGTAGAGAGGCGGGCTGGTGGCCCCACTGGAAGTTTTCTTGTAGTATACTTGCAGGAGGTGGAAATGATGGTTTGGACACTTACATGCACGACAAAGTAGATGCCAACGTCTGTCCATGTGAACGATGGAACGAACATCCAAGGCAGCGCGTACGGCGTGAATGCCAGCGGCGGCAAGTTGATCATCAGAGTCGGAAACAACCCTTCCATGTGATACAATGCCAAGAAATGCCATCGATGCGTCGTCGTTGTAGTGGTTGTAGTCGTTGGCTGGTACACGAACAAGCTGACGATCATGCCGACTTGGGACGCCACACAAAGGACGCCTGCGACCCCCATAACACCCACGAATAGTTCGACTTCCACAACTACGATCGACAACAAGAAGTCGGCTTGCAGGATGATACCCGTCGTAAAGCACGACCACGACACGAACTGCACCATCACAAACACTACGCCGCCGGAGAACGGCTGCCAGAACTACCAGCTGTCACTGACCAAAAGGCCACCCACGCCGTAGGTACTGGTCACGGCAGCAATACACAGACACACCGATCCCACGGGTGCGTTCGTCGAGAAGTTGTCGGCATACTCGACGCATTCCGCAATCAGCGCCAACACGAGTGCCCCACAACTGCCGGGTATCTGTTGCAATGTGGTAGTAGTAGTGGCTATCCGGCCTTGATCTACCGAGATACGTTACTTGGCCTCAGCGTCTGACGTCAAGTCCAGTTGCATCTTGGGCATGTCGGTCGATAGCTGGACCGAGTGGAATCTGTATGAGGTTTTGTACCG